GAGAGCTGTGCCGCAGCGGGACCCCCGCGCCGGCAGCGGCAGCCCCGGCAGCGGGCTGAGAAGCGCCTCCCCGCACCGGAACGCCTACGAGGCCGGGATCCAGGCCCTGCGCGCCACAAAGGATGCCCTTGGGCCGGCCGAGAGCGAGGAGGCCAAGAAGGCCCGGAGCAAGAAGTATGGGTCCAACGTGCACCGCATCAAGAACATGTTCCTGCAGATGGGGACCGCCCCGGGCGAGGCCCCCTGCGACCTGGCCAAGGCCCGGGAGAAACCCGTGCGGCTCTCCCTGCCCCGGGCCAGCAGCCTGAACGAGAACGTGGACCACAGCGCGCTGCTCGCGCTGGGCACCAGCGTGTCGGAGCGGGTGAGCCGCTTCGACTCCAAGCCCGACAAGCCGCCCTCCAAGCTGCAGGAGACCCGCAAGATCTTCGAGCGGAGCCTGCAGGAGAAGGAGGCCACCACCAAGCTCCTGCTGCGGAAGGAGCGGCCCGGCTTCCAGGACAGGAAGCTGGACGTGGTGGTGCGCTTCAACGGCAGCACCGAGTCGCTGGACACGCTGGGCACGGACGCCGTGTCGCCCACCGTCAGCCAGCTGAGCGCCGTCTTCGAGAAGGCCGACCTGAGGAACAACCTGCACAAAGCCCCCGGCAAGGCAGGGCCCCTCAACTCCAAGATCATCAGCAAGCGGTCCCGGGTCTTCCTCCAGGGCCCGGAGGGGGGCAAGGGGGAAGCCAGGGCGGGCGAGGGGCCGGCTCCCCAGGGCAGAGCCAGGCACCTTGAGGCCCACGGGTGCCCCCCGGCCGGGCGAGAAGGAGGCCACGGGCCCACGGGCTCAGGGCGCCCAGGAGGTGCGGAAGATCAAGCCGGTGGAGGTGGAGGAGAGCGGGGATTCGGAGCAGGAGCTCGAGGCCGCTGGCCGGGCGGAGGAGCCGGCGGCCGAGCAGGACAGGAGCAAGAGCTCCGCCGGCTTCGCACCCGGGCCCGCCGGGGCCGAGGAGATCCAGGCCGAGGTGACGGTGCACGCCTCCTTGGAGAACAGCAGCCCGGCTGCCAAGGCACACGGACAGGCCCCGGAGGCGGACGCCGGCCCCGCGGAGGAGGGCAAGGCCGAGGGGCAGGAGGAGGCCGACCTGGGCGACGAGTCCAAGAGGGAGGACTTCTCGGAGGCCGACCTGGTGGACATTAGCGCCTACAGCGGGCTGGGGGAGGACTCCGGGGGGAGCGGGCTGGACGAGGACGAGGAGGCCGACGGGCTGTACGAGCCCGAGTCGAGCTGCGTGGAGATCCCCGGGCTGTCGGAGGAGGAGGAGCTGGCTCCCAACCGCAAGATCCAGTTCAGCACGGCTCCCATCCAGGTAGGCACTGGGCGGGGTAACGGGCCGCCCGCCCACCCATGGGAGGTGTGAGCTGCCCCCGCCCGTCAGAGCTGGGATGAGACCCCAGCAGGCCCTTGTGTCTAGCCCCACAGCCCCCCCATCACACTGCAGCTCCCTGCCTGGGGGGTTCCAAGCCGGGGCAGCATGCCCCCATGGTCGCCCTGTTGGTCCAGTCGGGGCGTGGACTCTCGGGGTGCCATGGCCTCTGTGCCCACCACACTGTCCGTGCGCCGACCCCATGAAATGCGGCCACTGCTGGGGTGGCTGGACAGCATCCGTCCAGTGCACACTGATCTGGGGGCAGGGGGAGGAGCAGGGCTCGGGTACCGCGGAGCCAGCCCCTCCCGGGGGGCCACGCTGAGCCGCGGTTGGGATCTGGGTCCCCCACCTCCCGGAGGTCTGAGCCAGCCCTGCTGCGAATGGGGCAGGTGACTCCAGGGATGCGCCCGTTTGGTGAGCAGGCAGAACCCACCTTCCCCTCCCCCGGGAGCACCGAGCGGTGTCAGGCACCGCCTGCCTGCCTGGGCCTCAAAGCCAAGCCGGGCCTGGCTGCCGGGTGTCTGTGGGGCTTGCACTGCATGGCATGCAGGGAGCCGGGTGGGGGGTGCTCTGACAGTGAGGGGCAAGAGACATCCTGGGTATCCCAGGAGCCTGGCTGCCGGGTGTCTGTGGGGCTTGCACTGCATGGCATGCAGGGAGCCGGGTGGGGGGTGCTCTGAGCAGTGAGGGGCAAGAGACATCCTGGGTATCCCAGGAGCCTGGCTGCTGGGGTGTCTGTGGGGCTTGCACTGCATGGCAGGGAGCCGGGTGGGGGGTGCTCTGACAG